GGGAATAATAAGTTCTGTCTAGATTGATTTGTGAGTAGGTAAAGGAAGTTGCTTTGAGGTAGACCTTAAAGAATGAGTCAGAATTTTGTATACCATACTTCTTCCTCCAGCTAAAAAGAACTTGACATATTTGGAAAACCAATAGACCTGACATTGTGGTGTTATGGGAAAGAGTATCAGCTTTGGAATTCTATATAGGATGCGCTCCTGAAGACATACATCAAAAGCTTAGAAATTTCACTTTCAAGAGCTCATCGAAAGGAAATAGTTCCTCAAATGTAAAATGATGAGTGTACAAGAATGTTTATCGAGACATTGTTTCTAAAATTGAAAAAATGAGTATGAAGCTCAGTGTGCACTAGATAAATAAATTATGATACATAATTCTGGTGGAATTCTAAGGATGCATTAAAATGATTATTGAGATACATATTTATTGACAAGACACTATATTCATAAGTATGATCAAATACAAACTGATTATAAAATGTATGTGAATATGAGTCAAGTTTAGTTAAAATATCTACACATGCTTTTATTTATAGATCTATAGGCTTAAAAATAGAGTGTTATCCACCAAAATGGAATATATATATATATTTGGCAATGGAATATATATATGGTTTGTTTTTACTTATCTGTATTTTCTAATGTGCTATTCTATTCCTTGCGTGAAAAAATAATGAAGATTTTAAAACAACCTAATCTAAAACTTTTAAGCAGATTTTGCACAATCTTATCTTTAGGGACTAGGAATACTCATTCTGTTTTTAAAAACACTGTATTTGTCCTGGAATATTTGGAAAGAACTAATCCTTGTTGTAACAGTTCACTGTCAAGGTTAGTATTCGAAATCTGGCATAGGTTTATTTCTGAAAGTTTGTATTATTATTATATAATTACAAAAATATGGTTTTCATGTTACAGTTTCTTGGAAAAATAAAAATTGCTCTGTGGTTTTGCCAGTAATTTTCTATGTGAGTTTGGAAAATTTAATTTCCCTGTTTTTTGGCCTTTGTTTTCTCATCTGTAAAAAGTTGCAAGATCAGAAGATCTTGATGAACTTTAACAGCTTTAATATTCTAAGAATATATAATAAATTTAGAAAACTACCTCAGAGAACTATATGAGAGTATAAGTATGGAGGCTGAAAAAATCCAAACTCTTTAAAATACCCTTTAAAGAATTCTTCTTCAGTTGTTACACAGGGGATTGTTGATACTTCTCTCCTTTAGTATGGTTTCTCCCTTAATTGAATTTTAAAACAAATTATGTGTTAAATATCAAGATATTTGAATGTTGGTATACTTCTGACACCTGGTGGTCAAATCAAACATCACAGCTAAATTCTAATTCCCCAGACACTCATCCACTTCCTCTCAGTGGGACTTTTCCCCTCTGATTTATCCATTCATCATGCATCCAGTCATTCACTCAACAAACACTTAACGGATATCAGCTGTCTTTAAGACACTTACTGTGGAGGAAAGGAAGAAGTAATAATGAGTTTTTGGTGTGTATGAGATTGCAATCTATTTAGGGCAACAGATTAGAGTCCATGGAATTAGAAGTCAGAGTAGGCTTCTTGGAGGAAGTGAGTCTTGCCTTTCTTGGGGCTTTAGTTCCCCTATCTATAAAATGGTGGTAGTATTTCACTGTTGTGTGGGATTGCTGTGCACAAAGTATGCACCAAGTACTTAGTAAAGCACCTTGCCCAAAGTAGACATCCAGTGATTATTAGCTGTTATTATAACAAAACCAAAGATAATCAGGGATGACTTTGAGTATATTGACTATTCTCCAAACTTAATTTCAAAATTCAGGCTCAAGCTTACATAGTTTTTTCTTTAGATTGACTGTACAGAACATGAGATCAATTATTTTAGTTAGTTCAGTGGATAAACAAACCACAAAAGAGATATTTACAATTTGCTAGACAAAGCAGTCAATTCAGCAAAACAGTCGACTCAGTTAAAATAACATTAAAAGTTGTTTACTTAAATGAGCTGATTGCTTGACTGCAATGAAATGTCAGTTAGTAAATACAGTCTATTTGAAAATCCCATCTAGTCAGTGCAAAAGCATCAAATAGGCCTCTTGGCATTATGTGAGCTGTGTGTGGGTTAACTGAATCTTAAAACTTTTTAATTGGTTGTGTTTGGGGTTAAGTAAGCACTTTCTTAGACCCTATGTTGCTTCCAGTTGTTAAGGTTGAGTCTGTCTCATTTTCCCTTTAATTACATAAAATATGAAGCAAACTGTCTTTGCAAGCAATAAAATGTACATGGAACCATTAAAAGCTTATTTACTCTTTATTTTTTCTACAATGAGACACATAAGTCATATTTCCTAAAAATATCAAACTTTTGGGTAGTTAAACTGCCATTTTCAAGGTTAAAACAAAGAGTGGTGTAGTCGCTTTTGGCCAAAAGCAATAATGTTCTGATCCAGAAAAACAAAAACAAGAGCAAGGACCGTGTCATTTTAGAAATGTCGTACCTGAATAAAGGGAAGATTTGAGAGAGGACAGCACTGCTGTCTTCAGATATTTGCAATGTGTCATGTATAACAGGACTTTATTTGGCTTTGGTAGGCAGAACTATGTAGAAAAAAATGACAGGGATACAGATTTTTACTCATTAGAGGAACGAACTTTCTAACAACTGTGATTGTTAAAAGTAGACATTTCTCCACAGGCATGCAGATGGTCAACAGGCATGAAAAGATGCTCAGTGTTACTAATCATAACAAAAATGTAAATCAAAACCACAATGAGATATCACCTCACACCTAGAATGGCTATTTATCAAAAAGTCAATAAATGACAAGCATTGGTGAAGATGTAGAGAAAAGGGAACCCTTGTGCATTTTAAGTTGGGGCAGCCACTATTGGAAAAAGTATAGAGGTTCCCAAAAATGTGGAGAAAAGGGAACCTTTGTGCACTGTTGGTCGGATTGTGAGTTGGGGCAGCCATTACTGGAAAAAAGTATGGAGGTTCCTAAAAATATTAAAGTGTTAAAAATAGCAATTCTATTTCTAGTTATTTATTTAAAGAAAATGAAAACACTATTTCAAGAATTATAAGCGCCTCGATGTTCATTTTAGCATTATTGACAATAGCCAAGATCTGAAAGCAGCCTTGGTGTCCATTGATTGATGAATGGTTAAAGAAAACCTCTCTCTCTCTCTCTCTCTCTCTCTCTCTCTCTCTCACACACACACACACACACACACACACACACACACACACACACACACTGGAATCTACTCAGCCATAAAAAGAATGAAATTTTGCTATTTACAACAATGTGGATGCACCTAAATGGTATTATGCTAAGAGAATTAAGTCAGACAGAGAAAGACAAATACCCTGTGATTTCACCATGTGGAATCTAAGAAACAATAAATAAATAAACAAACAAAATATAAACAGACTCATAGATACAAGGAACAGACTGATGATTGCCAGATGGGAGGAGGATGGCGGGGCTGGGTGAAAAAGTAAAAGGATTAAGAAGTACAAATTGGTAGTTACAAAATAGTCATGGGGATGTAAAGCCCAGCATTGGGAATATAGTCAATAATATTATAATAATTATATGATGCGAGGAGAGTGGTAGACTTATTGAGGTACATAAATGTCTAATCACTATGTTGTACACCTAAAAGCAATATAATAATGTGTGCCAAGTATACTTTAAGAATATTTTTCAAATGTAACTATCTACATTAATAAATTTTTACTGAACTTTCCCTGAGAGCTGAAGTAGAAATAGTTCCTTTTGTTGCATCTACCACAAGATACCCTGTAGTACTTCCCATACTCTGGTAGTTTTTTTTTTAAATGGTTGCAAGGATAGTCTCAATACATGTGAATGCCTGAGGCTAATATAATTCTGTAAATAAGCACAGATCATTAAAGTTACAGAAGCTTCTAGAATCTTCCATGACTTATGAGCAGAACTAATTTTGTCCTAGCTAAATTCTGAAAGAGGCAAAGGTAACCTGAGTTTCACCATCTTTTCCAGGACTGTGTCCTTCTAAACCTGGTGACCTGGCAGCCATTCCCCAGGCTCTTACCCTGTTTCATTCACAAAGATCTATATACTTATCGCAGCAGTCACTTAATTCTTGATAAGACTGAAATTAAAAGTGGATTAAATTTTCTCTTGCCCAGAGTTGAGGATAGGGAAATCAGCTAGATTTCAAATTTATAATAAAGATGGAGGCAACTGTAAAGGTGAAATGTGGAATTCCACAAGAGTATTAGAATGTATGTCTGGGAGCTATTTTTGTTTGTTTGTTTGTTTAGTTTTTTTATTGTTGTTCAAGTAGTTGTCTCCATTTCCCCTACCTCCACTCTCTCCCACCCTTGATCCTCCCCCACTGCATTGTCTTTGTCCATGTGTCCTTTATACATGTTCCTTCCTTTCCCCTTAACCCCCCTCCCCTCTGGTTACTGCCTGTTCTTTATTTCAGAGTCTCTGGTAGTATTTTGTTTATTTGTTTGTTTGTTTTGTTCATTAGGTTCCACTTACAGGTCAGATCATATGGTATTTGTCCTTCACCGCCTGGTTTATTTCACTTAGTATAATGCTCTCCAGTTCATCCATGCTGTCATGAAGGGTAGGAGCTCCTTCTTTCTGCTGCATAGTATTCCATTGTGTAAATGTAGCATAGTTTTTTGAGGGGGCTATGTTTTACTGAGGTCTTATTTGTTGATTATCTCTACAAGTTTGATTATTCCTTTGATGACAAAAGGGAAAACCTGACTGAAGTTATTGCCAAAACAGTTATTTTTTTTGATTCCTGAAAATATTTCCCAAAATACTGTTATCCATTTGTAGATTGTCATGATATTTTTAGTTTACATAGAAAAAGCTGTCTGAATTTATGAAAGTTCACACTTGCATATTTCTTTAGTGGGAAGCAAATATATTTGTATATCCAAATATGTATTGACGTGCCCTTGATGCTATTTTTACTCTGTTTTGTGCAGAAATCATCACTCTGATGCTTTCCTTAAGAAAGGAACATAAATCGCCAAGATGAGAAACAACAGCACAAGAGCAAAGTGCACTGATCTCCAAATGCCATTTCAGCACACGCTCTATGCAACCACTTACATTACCATCTTTATCCCTGGTCTTCTGGCCAACACCGCAGCCTTGTGGGTTCTGTGCCGCTTCATCAGCAAGAAAAACAAAGCCATCATTTTCATGCTCAACCTCTCTGTGGCTGACCTTGCTCACGTGCTGTCCTTACCCCTCCGGATTTACTACTACATCAACCGCCACTGGCCTTTCCAGACGCCCCTTTGCCTGCTGTGCTTCTACCTGAAGTATCTCAACATGTACGCCAGCATTTGCTTCCTGACCTGCATCAGCCTTCAGAGGTGCTTCTTTCTTCTCAAGCCCTTCAGGGCCAGAGACTGGAAGCGAAGGTACGATGTGGGCATCAGCGCTGCCATCTGGGTCGTCGTGGGCACTGCCTGTTTGCCACTTCCAATTCTAAGAAGTACTGGCTTAGCCAACAACACTGAGTTCTGTTTTGCTGATTTAGAGGTCAAACATATTAGCATGGCTTCCTCCATTGCCATGGTAACTATAGCTGAACTTGGAGGGTTTGTGCTACCTGTTATAATTATTACTTATTGCACATGGAAAATGAGAAAATCTTTACAGGAAATCCAAGTTCCCCCTCAGAATACCAAAGAGAGAAAAAAGGCTTTGTGGATGGTTCTGATGTGTGCAGTGGTGTTCATTGTGTGTTTTACACCTTACCACCTCAACTTCCCACTTTTTATGATGGTGAAGCAAGATGTGTTTTCAAACTGCTCCTTTATCAAGAGTACTCTATGTTTCCACATCATTTCCCTGTGTCTTGCAAATCTGAACTGTTGTCTTGACCCAGTTGTATATTATTTTATGACCTCAGAATTTCGTGATAGATTTTCGGAACATGGTGGCCTGGTTTTTCAGTCATGTGTGAGATGCAAGGACAGTGTTTTAGAAATTCATCACAGAAATGAGGATCTTCAAACTATCTCTCTTGAGTTTTTGGAAGATTCCAAGACAACATAATCAAATAATTAGTGGGAATGATATATGTGCTGTATTAGTATAGCAATATCACCTTCAACATTTTTGTTAAGAAATGGTGTTCTTGACTGCTTTAACAAGTCATGGCCCCCTTTATTTCATGTTCAAAACTACTCTTTTGAAAGAGATATTCATGCCTATATTTTATGTCCAAATGCAAACGTATTGTTCACTGGAGAATGTAAGAAAATACAGAAACTAGGGAGCAACAGAATGAATTGCTCACCTGCTGTCAAAGACAGCAATGAGCCCAGTCTTTTCACCTTCTTTTACAGAAAAAGAAATGTAGATTGAAAACAAGCAGATGTAGGTGAATTTTTGAAATGTTTAAAAATGTACATGAGAGTAATATGATCCTAGCTTTATTTAGAAAATCACACTACTTGAACAATGTAGACAAAAGAGGAAAGGTTTATTCAATTAATAGGAGTTATGAGAACTTATTCTTGTAATTTAAAATGTCTACGAGACTTTTACTTTCTCCTCTTGGAGAAACAAACAATTCAGATTCATTCCAAATATCTCCAAAATATCAAGAGATTCACACGCAACACATACACCTTCAACACAAAATAAAATTGTGTTCTAGCTTATTCCACAAAGTTTAGAGTTTCAGGGTTTGCAATGAAAGCTCTTTGCTTGGATGTCTCTGAGTATGTGTGTTGTGATGCATGATTTTATATATTGGCACTCATTCAGAAAATTTGTTTATTTGTTCATTAAAATAAATTGTGACATGGTCTGCCAAGACTAATTCACCTGCATACAACCTGAGTCAAAATTTTGCTTGATAGATTTAAACAATGAAAACTCACACACATGTGCATAGTTTTTTAGGTGGGCTTCAATTCTCTCAGGTAAAGAGATATGTAGGAGGAACATTGGCGAATTGAATCTTACTGTAAATGGAAAAAATGCTAAAAATTACTTTGGTTAAATCATTTTGTAACACAAATCACTCCTATTGGAAAATTTGAAACTTAAAATTTCATATAATGGTTTGTATTAAAATAGTATTTTTAAAGGCAGTGGTTAGTTTTATAAAATTAGAGTCATGTGCTGAATAACAATGTTTCAATCAATGATGGACCAGATATAATGGTATTCCCATATTATTATAATGGGGTTGAAAATTCTTATTGCCCAGTAACATTGTAGCCATCATAATGTCCTAGTGCAATGCATTGCTCATGTGTTTGTGGTAATGCTGATGTAAACAAACCTATGTGCTTCCAGTCATGTAAAAGTACAGCACATAAAATTATATACAGTACATAATACTTGATAATGATGATAAATGACTATATTACTGGTTTATGTATTGATTATACTATTTTCATTATTATTTTACAGTGTACTCTTTCTACTTATGAAAAAAATGTTTGCTATAAACCAGCATGCCTTACTACCTGGCAGCAAACTTATACATCTCATGTTTACCATGTCTCTTGATTGCATTCTTTTCTCTTGCACTTGATTTAATCATGTGTTGTTCTGTGCTGTTGTGTTGTAACATGCTATATAGGATTGTAACCTAGGAGCAAAAGGCTATACCATATAGTCTAGGTGTGTGGTAGGCTCTACAATCTAGGTTTGTATAAGTGCACTCTGTGATGTTCTCAATGACAACATTGCCTAGTGATGCATTTCTGAGAATATTTTCTTTATATGATTGGAAATTCACAAAATATTTTATTTGTGTGAATTTTTTTTGTAATAGTGATTGCCTACCAAAACAAAAACAGGTAACATTTACCACAGGAGGATTAAAGAAAACAGAAAAACTCAAGTTCTCTGAAGTTATTTAGGGATCTATATTTCAGACAGTTTTGTCCTATAGAAATGATTGAGTATCTCTTTAAGTACCTAAATGTTTAGAACACCATTTTAAGTGGAAATGTTTCTAAAATATATTATTTCCTTCCCACTTAAGCAGTTTGTTTTAAACAAGAAGACATGGTTTATGAAAGAACTATTCATCCAGATTCAGAGCACCAGGATCTTAACTTCAGGTTCACCACTGATAAGCAATGTGTATTTGAGCAAGTTACTTCTTTTTGGTTTTCATTTTTATTACCTGTTCATGAGGGAGTTTGACTAGATGACTTTAATATGAAACAAACTTTTTAGAATGTGCTTTCTAAATTCCAAAGAACTTTAGAAATGATTACTTTTGTTGGTATTAACATTGTTGTTATTTAAGAAGAGCTTCAACTCTAACATTTAATGTAATCTTTTCAGGAGGACTGAGGGTCATTATTATAAACATCAATTATTGTATTGTACACATTTGCTTCTCTCAGGGCTATTGAAATTTGTAGAATTGCTTGTATCTACACTAAATTGGCCCTATGAATTTTTAGTTCTTATATATTTGTTTTCATAAGGGCTTATTTTTCCATCGTTTTAGGGTATCTATTCATACTTGTTGCCATTGTCAGTAGAACTCCCTAATAAAGTCCTTATAATTTTAATTAGCACTTTCTAATATTTTATAGCTTTGAAAATACACTAATCAAGCTAGTTATAACAGTTTAAAGTTAACAAAAATGAGTAAAATTCTGCTTATTTCATTTTATTTACAGAGGGTATGCATGGAAAAGGGAACATCTCCTATGGAACAAAGTGTATGGGTTTTAGTTTATGGACTTTACGACATCTATTTTGGCTATGCAGAACTATTTTACTTCCTTCCTGGTTCTGTCAGCTGTGTTTGGATAGCTGAGGTTGCCAAATATTTGAGTTCCAGTTCACTGAGGTGTGACTAGGTGTTTATGACATCAAAAATTTCTCGGAATATAAGTATCACCAGCTTATTTAAATATATGATTATATTTAAATATATATAGTTCATCTATATTATATATAAACATTAACAAAACCATTACTTGTTTCTCTTATGGAGGTTTTATATATCCTATAATTGTCTTAATAGACTATCTGCCCTCTCTCTTTAAGGCCACTTGGTAGACATTCCCTATGCATTTGAAGTTTTATTTGAGATGCATTTATTTTTTTTTGAAGTTGGTCTATTGTTATCACAAGTAATAAAAATTATCCAAAATATTTGGAGAAGCCCAAAAAAATAGATGGGCTACCAACTCTCTTCAAGTTACCAAAATTCTCCCAATAGCTCCAATTTGCTCCTCCTTCTATAGGAGGTGTGGAGGTGTAAATGCATTCATGTTGATCCAGTATTTCTGGGGCCAGGTGACTATCCACCTGCATTTTTCTACATCCTATTCCCCCAAGCATTGCAGTGCAGCAGTTCCAAAGATGGAAACCTTGAGTCTACAACTGTAACTGATTGATAATAATTAGATAGACTTGGGTTCTAGTACTACCTGCCCTTAACTGTATGACATTGAGCAAGACATTTTATCATTCTGAAGCTGTTTTCTGATCTGCAGTATGGTGATAATAATCTCTGTCCTTTCAGCTTCATAAGATTCTTGTAAAAAGACCCAATGAGAAACATAGATGAGAATTATTTTTTAAACTATAATGACTATTTGAACACAAGGACACAGGGAAAAGTAATATTGAGAAAAGAATAAGGTAAGGGAGATAAAGTGCCCCCTCAACCTATAACAACACAGTAGGTATTATTAAAGATTTGAAATAACCTGTTAGCATAGAAAACGTGAATGTTTGAACTAGTTCCCAGGGTTAAGACAATACTGGCTGAGGCCCCTGAGGGTAACAGAAGGAGCCATTTACCTAGCCCCCCAGGATGAGTTAGATCCAGCCTTTCAGAGAAGTAAGTTAGGATTACAGTTGAGTTTCTCTGAAGAAATCAAATGCCAGAAGTTGACAATAGTCTTAGGTAAACAATGAAGATAGAACAGGGCATAGTTAAGTGTCTCCTATGAATGAATTCTGTAGATGGAAAGCAAGGTCTCCAGAACCTTGGGAAGGAATGGACTTGAAACACACCTAGAGAAACCTATAGTTGTAAAGGGGAGGACTGAACACAGGAAGAAGTTGCCTAGCAGCATTGTTTGCACATAGATACATTTGTTGTGGGACATTTAAAGGTTCAAATAAGTTCATTGCATATCTACAATCACTGATTTGGTTAAGCAGATTAGACGATCAAATCTGCATTAATATGAAATATACAAAACCCCAAAGTGTCTTAAAAATGTGAAACATACACACTTCTGCCTTTGCTCACAGTATTTCTGTCATGCATGCCTTTGCTTCTCTGTCTATCTAGACTTATGAATTATTTAATATTCAGCTTAAAATCTTCACTATAAAATCACATCATCTCTTCTACACAGTAAAGTCCTTAAGGGTACCAATCAAGGACAGTATAATATGTTGTGTTCTACAAGATATTGAAATTGAACCCAATTTCTTATATGGATGTTAAGACTTTGGTAGATATTTTCTGTTGTTAGTTTAAGGCTTGCATATTTCTCTCTGTGTAGGAGATTGCATTTTGAATATAAACTGTAGTTAGTCTAATTCTATCAGCATCATGCAAATAGTGAATGCTCAATTAGTGCTTGTTGCATGATTTAAAAGAAAATATGTAGTCGTTAGTTAGATATCCAAAATAATAATTCCTATAAAGTTGACATCAATAAGTGCCACAGGTTTTATGTTCTCATTCTGTCTGTCTTTAATTGCCATGATAAATACCAGAAGCTCAGGACCTGAGAAGAGGTTATTATTCCCAGCTTTACTGAGAAATAACTAACAGATATAATTATGCATATTTAAATTATATAACATGATGATTTGAAATACATATCTGATGCATATATGCCACTGGAGTCACTATCTTGGAAAGTAGTTGAATTTGTTGAACATAAATGAGACCAAAGTCTGGCTGGCTCTCAGTTAACTAGGTAACCATATTACAGTAGACTCTGAGTTTGTAGTTCTGTAATATATGTTTACAAGCTGTTTATTAAACATTAAAACATTAAAAATGTTTCTGGAAGTTTCCTTTTTGTTTTGATGTTGTGGTT